ACATTTACAAAAACACAAAAAACTTTTTTATTTTTATTTTTATTTCATCTCGAGAGTAGTGAACTCATTAGAAAGAGGTTATATCTGAATAAGAATAACCAACTACTTTTAATTCTAATAAAGTTAATTGTATAATAATCTTAGTTGGCTACTTTAAAGAGTCGAAAGATCTTAAAATTAGCCCAAGAGTAGTTATTTTTTCTAAAATAAGGACACCATCGAGATGTACCTACAACAACAGCAACGACGACAAAACAACTTACCATCATCATCATATTCAATACCAAATGGTATACAACTTGATCGACAATATCAATATGGTTATCAACAACAACCTATGGTTTATCAACCATATGGTGTTGATATGCCATTAAATTGGCAATTTCAAAATAACTGGATGGGAGGAGCAGAAAGTTGGATAAATGGGCAACAACAAATGCCCTTACAAGCACCACCATTCTATTATCCTATTGACAATGGCATGTTAACTACTGTGGTTCCTTCTTCGAACCAAGTACAATATAAAGATAATTCAGTGATGCCCTCAAAAAGACGTGGTATTCTGAAAATAAGAAAAGAACCGACACAACGTCGGTTAGTTCATTTTATGCCAGAAAGTTGGCAAAAAAAGACCAAACCTGATAATCGTGGCAAAAAACCCGATCAGATGAATAATAAAGGTCAAAAACAGAAAACAATAAAATCACCTGAAAAAGCTCGTCTTGACACACTCCGTAGAACAGCACGGCGTCAAAGACAACGAGCAGCTTTACTTGAAAAAAGTAATGAATTAGGTTGTTTCAACGGTAATAATCGATTTAGTCTTTTATCTGAGATAGATGATGACAACGATAATGGATATACAACCGATAATTCAGAGGCTGATCATCAAACTGAAGCCATGAAAAATAATAAGAAGATTAAACAGAAAAACTTGTCGAAAAAACACAAGAGACAAGCTAAAACAACAACAGAAGTTCAGATAATTGATGAACATGTTGTTAAGAATAATATAAAGGCGCGAGGAAATAACCAGCGTCAAATAAATTTTTCTGATTCTGAAAGAGAAGAGGAAAATGATAATGTAAAATCACCTTTTTTAAATAAAGATAAACGAAAATGTAAAAGTTATTTACAAACTTTTAAAATTCTCGCTTATCTAAAAGATCGTGTGAATAAAGATAATAAAATAAAACTCGACATTAAAGATGTTTTCAATGAAGTATGTGAATATGCAAAAAATACCATTGAAACATATGATAGTTGGGTACATAATCATTATGAAGCCCAGGTCTGGCAACATATCTATGATTTAGGTAAAGAAAAAGATCATTGGGCTAAAGAAATAGTAAATATAACACATACACGGGAGGCTAAAATAAATGTGTCAATATGTGAAAAGAAATTAGCACAATTGACAACGACATGTTTCGATGCTAATAATATAATTACACGAAATATGCGAGAACTTTCATCTAAAACAGCCACTGTTGCTACACAACGAGTACATAATCTTATACTTGATTATATTAAAGAGGCTACACAAGGTTTAGCTAAAATGAGCATTAATAGAATTCGTCGTGCTTCAATTGAAAAAGATGAATGGGATGCTCTAAAAACATTTGAAAATGTTGCATCAGAACAACAAAAAATGTATGCTAAAACCTTTTGTAAATCGACATTGAATAACTACCATAAGAAAAAGAAAAGGTTTGAATTGGTAGCTGCACATATATCATATGATATAATACCGAAAATCTTACCGAAGTATGACTTTAATCTTCCTGTGGACGAAAATTCACTTACAAGTGAACAGACCCAGGAATATAAAAAAAGCATACAAAATTTATCAAAAGATTTTCGACTTAAAGCAACAGAACTCTATCTAGGAATCGTCAAAGAAGAATTTGAATTTCAAAAAGAAAGATTACAAAAACTTCTTCATGATTTTCCACAAGATAGATATGAAGTACCATCAACACAAATTGATGATGATGATGAAGAACCTTTAGATAATGAAGTTTTTACTCAAAAACCATTATCACAACAACAAGAAACTATAAATAATCAAAAAGGTTCTGAATTATTTAAAAAATATATTGAAATTGCACATAAAAGAGCTCAATTAGAAATTGAAAGAGAAGTGCATTTTTTATCCGAACGAGGCGTCCAAGAGACGCCAGTCGAAACACAAGAGTCAAAAGATCTAAATCCAGTGATGCGAATGGATTTCGTGCTCCAAGCATAATTAATGATGCTAATATAATTTTAAATAGGAGTGAAGAGGCCCTCCTTAAATTAGGCCCTAAATATATTCCTAATAACCCTCATCTCGCTCATAAACGTATGGGAAATGAGATAGAAGTGGTTGTAAAGAAACTAAATAAAATATTCGTTGAACACGGATGGGTACTACCTAAAGAACGGTTACAGATCTTTATAGACTCGCTCGAAAAGATCTTGACTGATTGTCATGAAAGACACCCATCATCTGTCCAATTAAAAGAAATCAATATGTTAAGAAATAAATTTGAAGCTACACAAACAGTCATCAGAAAAACTGATAAATCGAAAGTTTTCCATATTGGTAAACTTGATGACTATAAAGTGAAAGCTCAAACATATATGACTGTAACTAAAGCATATCAAGATTTGGGTACAGTAAACCCACTTGAACCTTTAGTTGAACGTACAAATAATTTTCTTTATGGTTTATGGCATAATAAACATATTACACAAAAACAATATGAAAAAGTAAAGGTTAATAAAGAAGAGGCTGAATTAGCTCACCTTTATTTCTTACCAAAAGCACATAAACCGGGAACACCTTTGAGACCTATAATGGCTGGTCTCAAATCTCCAACCATTGGCATATCGAAATGGTTAGATGGTCTATTAAGACCTCTATTCGATCGATTAGCATATGAGACAACCATTTTGAATGGGGTCCAATTAATTAAACAAGTTGAAAAATGGTCGGCTACGTATCTTACACCAGCCACATCATTCATAACAATGGATGTTACTGATTTGTATACAATGATTCCTCAAGAAGGAGGAGTAACAGCCATAAAAAGATTGATTGAAGCATCTGGATTAAAACAAATCGATGGTGTTAGAAAAGAGATCATATTAGCTCTTACCAGATTTGTTATGACCAATAATTATTTCTATCTTGATGGGTCATATTATAAACAAATACGTGGAGGAGCTATGGGCTCTCCATTGACCCTGACAATAGCTAATGCATATATGTATTTTGTTGAACGTCCTATTTCGAAATGGGCTAATAGGACATGTTCAATATATTATAGATACATTGATGATTTATTTATCGTGTCAAATGTACATGCAGATATATTAAAAGGTCTTGTGAATTTTTGGAATAGACTTGATAGTAATATTAAGTTTTCAGAAACCATAAGACAGACTGCAGACTATCTTGACGTTAGATTTGTGAATAGAGGAGGTAAATTGGTAACTGAGGTTTATCATAAACCATCACATGAACCATATTTCCTCCCTTTCACGAGCATACACGCACGGCATATGAAAAAGAATATTCCATTTGCAGCTCTAGTAAGGGCAATAAGATATTCTTCTAATTATGAGGTTTTTAAACGTGAGGAAGCCCATATTTATATGTCGTTACTATTGAACAAATACCCATTGAATTTTATTAGTAAACAATTTGAAAGAGTCCCACAGACATTTCAATATGCAGCACTTTCACAGAAAAACTATTTGGAAATTAGAAAGGTCTTAATAAATGCTGTAAATAACAACAATGATGCAAAGAAGGCTAGAATTGATTTCGAGATTAATATCATGTGTCATTTCTCGTATTGCCAAGGAATGCATGATTTTTCAGCTCGTTTTCACGAACTCTGGAATGATTGTTTTTCAGATACAGCCATTCGTCATATGAAACCAATTGTCGGTTCTAGAAGATTAGATAATCTTCAAGATTATCTTGTTAGAAAAAAACCAGACAAGTCTCTACTAAAAATTAATAAACCACTTACCTAGTAGAGTTATTGAAAGGACACTTAGATAGGAGTCCTTTTACAAATAACTTACCTCAGCTATTTGTTTAAACGAATACTCCTTATACGAGTCCTTTTACAAATCGCTTACCTATTTGATAAAAGAACACGTCCTATTCCTTCAGATAGGAGTTCTTTTGCAAATCACTTACCTCCACTTTTTGTTGAAAGAACACTTCGTATTCTATCAGATAGGGGTTCTTTTGGGCATTGGTGCGACATAATGTTATGGTTCATGTAATATCAAAAAAGGTGCGACATAATGTTATGGTTCATGTAATGTCAACAACGGCAACCAGCAACCAACAACAATTTAATCCTCGTTCAAGGCAATGATCATCTAACAATATTAGCACTACAAATGGTCATTCCGGTTCAAGGCAATTTTCTGTTTCACCTGTAGCGGCCCATTCGGCCATCTGGTCATTGTCATTAGTGTGCATTTACATATTCAATTCGAGAGGCCCATTCGGCCATCTAGTAGTGTCTTTAGTAGGTCCTTTAGACCCTGAAGATCATTCGTTGTAAATAAGTTTTTTGTGTGTGTATTTTGTATATTCTGAAGAAGTGTGGTTTAAATCACACAGAAACTAGTCAATAAATAAACATTTACAAAAACACAAAAAACTTTTTTATTTTTATTTTTATTTCATCTCGAGAGTAGTGAACTCATTAGAAAGAGGTTATATCTGAATAAGAATAACCAACTACTTTTAATTCTAATAAAGTTATTTGGATCGAGTACATCGGCGCAGCAAGTTCAAAGTGAAAGCTTGATATATTTCAACAACGATTGTCGAGCCTATCCACTTATTTTTGGTACTAATAAATAATGAAGCTAGAGAAGGTTTACGCCTTCCATCTGTCATCAACTGTAAAACAGACCACGGTCTTTTTTCGAAAAGTGTGTGGTTGAGTATTGTTTCTTTAAACTATCCCGCTATGTATCAATGTCTCTCTCTACAGAGCATTCATGAGAACTATAAAGAGTTTCTGACGAGATTAATGTCTTACACTTTTGCTTGGTGAAATGATAGAGATTCATGTAAAAGTTTATCGTGCTTTTTCTCGTAGTGTGGTGCTTCCTGATGATTCCTGAAAAGTATGGATAGCTGGCATCAGAAACGAGCTATGTAACTTACTATGCTCTAAGACCGAAAAGTCGACTATCAGAAAATCCCATCGTGTGCATTTCTGTTAAGTTGTATTGGAAAAAGAAACATTTTACAATGACGATCAATAGCTATGTTTCAGATGCATAAATATCTGTACTACTGTGTTGTCCTGAGAAAATCCGGATGCCGCCGTACCGAAACAAACGTAGGAAAATCTAGGGTGCATTTAAATTTATCTTTACAAAAAACACTCTAGACTATCCCTTTGGCCTTCCTCTTTCTCGCTTTCTCTCTCAATAACAATCAACTACTTCTCCTTTGAAAATCAGCTGTATTAATTAGTCCAAAGAAGTCTTTCTTCTTGATAACTATTCCAATGTGTGTTAATGTCAAGCTCTGTCTAAACAACGATGCAAATACAGTTCACTAAATAACAAGCATAGGGCGATAAGAAATAGGAACAGTAAAAAAACAACAAACAAGGATGCCCTCAATGACATGGTTGCGCACACGCACACTATATTAGAGGAAACCAAACAAAACATTGATCTTGAAAATTAGTATGAGAATTTGAACGAACGACAGTTGTGCTGACCGATATGGAACTTATGGAATTTAAAATGTTTTGTATAAGTCACTGGCTAGCACCTTACGTTTTAATTCAGTCTAAACGAAACAAAGAGACAGAGAAAAAGGAACAAATAGATGGTCTTTAGTAAAAGTCTTGGCGTAAGCTCGTTAGACAAATATCTGCAGCAGGAGGAAAACATGATAGAGTTAAGGCCCCCCCCCCCCTCAAAAATGTCAAGTTTCGTTAGAAAAACGAAATTTGAGATAAGTGCACAGCCGAATACTATGATGCCTGAAAGTTAAGAATCCGCATGGTTTTCAGGTTTCGTTCCCCAAAAACCTGGGTTTTTCGCAAAAAAGTGTATTTTTGGCACCATACATAAATTTTTTAAAAAATTGATTTTTTTCAAAAAAAATAAGATTTTGAAGGAAAAGGTCATTTTTCCATCAAAAAAAGTATTTCTTGAGTGTTAAAAGATGGTTAGATAGTTTAGTTTATGTCATTCTGATCACTTGATTATGGACCAACAGATTATTTTTGTACGAACTTCTAACAGCGTTCTTATCTTTCAGAAAACCATTCTGATAGTGGTTCTAAAAACTGTAAAATATTTATGTTATTCGAAACTACTGATATTCTCTGTAAATAGGCTATTTCCAATAGACGAAATCTTAGAAATGAGAAATGGCTTTATTAGAATCAAGCTTTTTTATCATATTTACAAATAGTAAAAACACAAAAAGTGTTTATACATATATATATGTATATATACATAAAAAAAACAGAAAAACAAAAAATATTTATATTGAAAATTTAATTGTCTTCGTCCGAGTCTTTCCACTTCCGACTTTTTGGATTATAATAAAGATCTTCTGCTTGTCGACTTCCATCATCATTATTATCATCTTCGTTATCGGTGTTGTTGTGAGATGTTTCATCACCATCAAACGAAGTATGAGCACTGGAACTAACATCATCATAATCATCATCATCGAAATCATCATTATTTTCATCTTGTTGATCAGATGTTTCACTAACATCATCAGCATCAGATATACCATGTGTTTCTTCATCAGTTGTATCTTTAATTGCTTCAGTTAGATTGATCAACTTCTTTTGTTTGCGCATATATTCTTTATTTGCAGTATGTAAGCGTTCATCGTCGAATGAGATCAGTATGTTCTCAGTGTAAAAACCGATGTAACCACATAATTTTTCAAAGATTTCACCTAAAAAATAATGAAGTTAGATTGATATGAACTTAAAAGCATGTGCTAATTTTCTTTGGTTCAATTTTTTACCCAAATTATAATAACCATCATTGAAAATCAATACTGCTAAGTAGCAGGCAATATTAAATGTAACACTCGAGGCTGCTTTATGCTTTGGCGACATCGTCCATATTAAAGAGTGAAATGCCTCGTTTGAATTTTGTGTAGATCCATTCAAAACACGCATTAGGCTTTGTCTGCTACAAATTGAATCAAAAGCCGGTTTGATTTTGTTCATAACCGCTCTAGGTAATGCATGTGGTGTGTGATCGTAGTGAGTATTATTTTTCTTTGCTTGTAAATATCCACACCATGATACATCACAGAATTGATGATGATGACGTGAGTTTGTGGAAAACTTGTGCCAATACATCGCCTAAGAAAAGCAGATGAATGCCAAAGTATAAAAACTTGAGAATGTCATACTTGAGCACTTTTATATAATTTATCAAGATCATTTTTATTCTTCCGAATCGCTTCACAAAAATATATTTGGAAACGAGTTATCACTTGATCTATAAAGAAATAGTGTTTAGTTCGTATGTTTTCATTCATTATTTCTTCATTAGTGTTACCCGTAAGACGTCCTTTTCCACCTATTGTTTTCCCGTCTGATAACTTCTCTTTACCACATTTTTTTTAATCATTTCAAGAGCACGTTTTAGACGTTTTCCAAAATGGTTGATGTCTTCAATTTTCTGTATTTCAATGCCTAAATATATAAAACATTGCTGCTACTCATGTTGTGAAAAATAAGAAAACTCATTCATACCTTTGTAAGGTATTTCTGTCTTTAGTACAGAAAATGTTTTAGAATCACCATCTCCTATGTATTTTACATAGCGAACACCATATTTCTTTACAGATCTTCGAAACATTTTTAAGATGGACGATGCTTCCATATTGCCAGAAGGTTGATCGAAATTTTTTCCACAATCGTGATTAATTATTATTTGGTCATATTTTGTTCGGGCTTCTGGTGTTCCTAATTGTAATAAGCTTTCGGCACCTGAAGCAAAAAAATTGATTATATTTTCATTATGTTTTTTGATCATTCAAATAATTCAAGAATATTACCTAAACAAACATTACATGTTTTTGAACATGTCTCAATGTCAACGACTTTCGGAGAATCACATGTAGATATCAAGTCAGCAGCACCATGCTTGCTAGAAAAACCTCTTGTTTGCCATGTTCCATCACCACTAACGGTGATGTCAGTACTTTTGGCAACATCTATAGCTTCTTGTATGGCTGTTGACATAGATTCATTGGCAAATTTTTGTACTACTTGTAATAATTCTTTATCACGTTTGCTGTGACGTCCTTCTTCTAATGGTGGTGGTAAATTTAATGCTGCACATATTTTTTGTAATCCAGCATGGCGAATACCTGTTAAATGCCCTGCAAGTTGAGTTCTCACATTAATATCATGTCATTTAGAATCTTTTACTTGAGGACTTGAATCTAAAAATGAAAAGAAATTCATAATAGCACGATTATCGAGAAAGACGACTATATCATTACTCACTTATGCTAATTCTATTATTACAAAAACTGCATTCAAAAGAGAGAATAACGAATAATCCTTCTCTTTTATTCATGTGCATTGTACCATCCCATTGCTTCTCGCATAATGCGCATTTTGTTTTAGATAATAAAGATCGTAATAAATTATTTTGAATAATAGAGTACGCATCCAAGGGTGCATCAGAATCAGATGATATGTTGCTAGTTGTTTTTTGTTTCTTGATAATTTTTTGACTAGATGCAGGTAATGTGCGTTTGCTAGTCGTAGATGATGAAGCCGACATTGTAGGTACTTCTGATGCAGATGGCTTGGATTTTGAACGTAAGTTTTTTATTCGTGGACGAACTCTGTGAATAAAATACAATTTTTTTATGATAATATGTAAGTCAACAAAACATACCTTTTGAAACCGTACTTTGGACGTCATTTGTTGGCCATAGCATATATATGTATATGTGTGCGTGTATGCGTTTGTATAGCGAAATTAGAAATCAATCTAAAAAGGAAAAAAACTCATCATTTGTTTTTGTTCAGAGTATCTGTTGAATTCTCGACGTATTACTAGTTTTTTTATTGAAGATTCAAAACACATACTTAATAACAATAAGGATGAGAACGAGAGAAACAGAATAAAAAAGAAAACAAAACAATAATGTAAATAAAGTTAAAGAAAAGATAAAACCAATCTTAAAGAATGGAAACTTTACTATATAGATGGCGAGAGAGAAAGGAAGAAAAACAATACATGGTATATATGGTCTTGTACATTCGCGCGGGTCATATCGACGTTGGATCTAACTCTCAATATTCAATGTACAGTAGCAGCTAGTTACAATTGAATACGTAAAGCTATTCTATGAGACTAGCTCCCTTTTTTGTATAAGTATTTCAAATTGCAACTCCTGTGTATACGTACAAGTTTTCAAAAAAATCCGAAAATTTAGATAAATAGCTGTCAGCATCCCATCTCTTATGGTAACATCTTTAAAGACCATTTTATCAAGTTAATAGATGTTTTTTTTATACAGCTTCATTAGAACTTCTCCCAGAGAAACTTCTGAAGAAGAAGGAAAATGATATCCTTTAACTAGGCAGAGATATTCACATAATAAAAGATATTTCTCGGAAATTTCACATAAAAAAATTGTTTCACGTTTTTCTCAAAATGGTGGTCAAATTACGCATACGCACCGAAAGTCAGTTATTACCCGATATAAAGTCAAATATTTTTTTTTGTTTGAAAGAGCATGTCAAGATGCAGTGCCTATGAGGGCCCTTTTTTTGATAAAGCTTTCTTATTATTATAATGAAAAGCGACTTCATTATATAAGCATGATTTTTTTGAGGGATTTTTAAGTCATTGAGTTTATGAAGCTTTTTTTTCTTTATAAAGATATGAGTTTGGAAAAAAGGGCCCTCATAGGCACTGCATCCTGACATGCTCTTTCATATGAAAAAACGATGAACCAAATTGAATGAACACCCATCGAGATTTCGTGCGTATGCGATAAGCTATTTTTCGACCCTTGTTTAGTTCGTAGGTACCTTATGCATCAGGATAGGACGCTGAAAATTTTATCACAGACGTACTTTTACATCCCCAACATATCCCCAAAGTTTCATGCTATCACGATGTTCTGGAGCTGAGATCGAATTTTGAGGGGGGGGGGCCTTAAATGGAGTTCTTGCAAACAAAAAAAACTGTAAAGTGAGTAGCAGTTTTTCAAAGTACGTTCATTATCAGTGATACGGTGTAAGCCCTCTGTTTTTTTCGGTAGATTCATGCAAAACAGTCACAGACACCAGATTTCCTAAGTCTAAGTCCCATATCAGCAAAATTTAGCCTTCTAGTGCAAGCGAACCTCCCCACATAAAAGAAATCCGTTGTGCATCTCAGTTGTCCAAACCGGTGTCACAAAGTGAGCGCCTGTCTCTATCAGCCTTTTTTTAAAACTGACTTCAACCTTCACAAAGTCAATACCTACAACAACTTCATTTCTGCAAAAAAGAGACAGCTGCTATCAGTACTTTACCAAGTTCAACTCTTCAAATAAAACTGATACCTTTTTGCGTAAGTTTCTATTTGGCCCAACAATATCTCCACCAGTCCATATTGGTCGTTCATATGCTAACTTTCCAACAATCAAAGTTTTCCAAAAAAATTAAAACATTATTGTATTGATTAAAAAGTAGTATCCATATCAAAAGTACTTAGTCTCACAAATTTCGAGATATCGAGTGCAGAGTTGTTTCAGTTGCTAGAGAATTGTCGGACGCACAAAATTATATATCGTTAATTTGAACTTTTTTCCATAGGCTGAGATACTTGAAAAAAATACTGAATACTTTAAAAATTTGGGTACTTTAAAATTTCACAACTAATGTCGATTTCAGAGATAAATGGCCGTGGGTATTTTTCGAATAACTTTTGATAGGAATGAGATAGAGACCTGCGATTTTCACCACTGGAAAGAGCAGATGAAAATGCATCGAACCATATCTAGAAAGATTTTTCTAACGACTTTCCTGAAGGTTTTACGTAAAACTTCAAGAAAAACAGCATGCCTCTCATGATTGCGATATTAATTTATTGGCTTTCAGGAGTGTGCTAGAACCGCCAAATGAAGAGCTACAAAAAACTATGGAAAGGCTCTATTCATAACTATTACCAATACGATATTCTAGCCATTGGAATGCAATTCACCAACCAGTTTTTCAACAAAATAGCCGAAAAATGGAGTTTTTTTGTGATATTTCGATAGAAAAATCACTTTTTTAACGTAGGAGAAAAACGCAATTCTTTGAAAACGTTTGACTAAAACCTTCAGGAAAGTCGTTAGAAAAATCTTTGTATATATGATTCGATGTATTTTCATCTACTCTTTCCAACGGTAAAAACCACAGGTCTCTATCTCATTCCTATCAAAAGCTATTCGAAAAATATCCACGGCCATTTATCTCTGAAATGGAGATTAGTATATGGTGATTTTTCCAGAACACATGGGAAAATATCTGTCTTTGTGTTGCCTTTACAGGAACCCCTCCATGAGTTTACCCTAAAAATTTCAGCTCTTTATACAACTCGAGAGAAAAGTTGATGTTTTTGTAATGCACATGTATATTTGATGACTTAAACAATTGTGCAATTTGAGGGACGGAAATAATCGATAGCGTTCCGGACAAGTTGGCATTTTCCAACTCGTACTCTGTTTCGTTAATTTTTCCCAAACTATGCCCGGTATAATTGTGACGCGTCATGACAGGAACTGCCAGTACGTGAGTTTATTAGCAAAGAAGAATGTGAAAAAGCACGACGTATCACAAATGGAACCCAGTAGCTTTACGATTTTTCAGTTCATAGAAACTCGATGGAGAAACGTCGAAGTCCAAGATGGCAATGATTGCATTTGTTGGTTCTTTCCGAAAAAGAAGAATAGGTACGTCTTACTTTTGGAAAGAATTTTTTCGAATTAGTAACATTTTGAGTTCAAAAGACCGCAGAATTGTCGCAATGAGATGAAGCTAACCGGACCGAAGAAGCAGAAAAATCAACCAAGTCAGCCATCAGTCAGTGGAAGTATAAATATCAATATCTTTTGAAATGAAATAGACGCATCTTGCTTCGAAAACAATTTTCTTCACAAAATGAATATTTGGGATACGATTATTATTTTTACATCTGTTTCGCAACATATAATTGAGAATAAAGGAGGTAATTGGCAGAGGCTTCTCTGACAAAATGGAGACTAGTCTCGTCAGCGCACTCTATCAATACGTAACGTCTATTGCTGCTATGGCTCAATGAAATAGAATGTCAAAAAGAAACATCCAATTGATTTTATCATATCGAATAGCACTTTGTTGATACCTTCTGAAAGACAGAAACAGATGAAGACTAAAAACTAGCTTCTGTGATGTACACTACTAATACTTTTGATTCTCGCCGTGCATCGAGGGTGTGGGTGTGACGATGAATCATGTCATCAGCTGATCACTATTCCAAATCATGGTTTGCATAAAGTAAGTGCAAACAGCGATCTTTTGTCTTTTTCATTTATTTCAAAAAGAGAAAAGGGCAAAAGGGCAACGTATATGGTCTTCTATGCAAAACAAATGTCTCACACGATTAATCAATAGCCATTTTTTCTCATCAACCTTTGATCATCTTATACGTTCTCACCTCACGTCGGTGTGTTAATTACTGCTTTTTATCGTTTGAGAGGAAAGGTCGGCACCTATCGAGAATCGAAATGATGTCTATAAATGGTAGATGCATCTCGTGTTCTATTACTCTTATTTATTCATCAGCCAAAAAATACCTTTCTACAAAAGAAATGCTACTGAGTATAGCGTTTTATGTTCTGATGTCTTTGACTGTGACTGAAGCTAATTTAATCATTTGTCCAACTTTGAACAGTGCTGCCAATTTTACTGTGATTGCAGCCAGCTCAGTGAGCAACACTGGTCTCACTGTCATCAACGGCAACTTAGCTATAAGTCCGAGCATCTCATTGACTGGCTTTAATCCGACGGGTGTGATTAATGGCATTACTGAATTGGGCACTGTTGTCGCTCTACAAGCGCAAAAAGACGTCACATCGGCGTACAACGACTTAAAGGGAGCGCCGATCACTGCTCAGATGACGGGAATTGATCTAACAAGTAAGACACTCGTACCAGGCATATACAAATTCGACTCGGCTGCTGGAATCGACACACCGGCAGGTATTTTAACACTGAATGGAACTGGTATTTATATATTTCAGATTAGCAGTGCGCTCACGACGTCGGCCTATAGTGAAATCCGAGGAATAAATGGCGCCAAGGCTAGTTGCATCTTCTGGCAAGTAGGCAGTAGTGCTACGCTCGGCCAGTATAGTCGCTTTCTCGGAAATATTCTCGCCTATGCATCTGTTGGCTTCGGGACCAATATCACATATAGCGGTTCTGTCTATGCAAAAACAGCAGCCGTTTCATTTATCGCTGATGTTGTCACTGGTCAGGAAAGCTGTAATCTATGCCTAATTGTGCCTTCCGCAATCAAAGATCGAGCAAACTATCATCTACGTCAAAATATGTCGTTCTTAATTTTAACAATGCTTCTACTCTCTTTTTTTTGTTGAAGATAAAGAACTAATTCCATGTACGCTAATCAAAGACTTATCTCTTATTCATTTTTCTTGAATTTTGATATTGTAGGAATGTACTTCTCTCCAATCTGTAGAAGTCAGCACTCTCGACAAAATCTGAAGTTACAGTATAGGGTGTGGGTCTAATTGTGTGTGGTGTAGTCTCATCTTCTCTTATGTAACAGCCACTCACACAGGCACTCACACTCACATTTACACTCATACCCGCACGATTTACGCACCCATACATACATCCACACATCGAACTCACACCGACACCCACACCCGCATCTACACCCACATCCACCACATCCACACTCATTTCCCTAGTAAGTTGGTTATGCATGTATTTTCTTTGTATGTTTTGATCTTTATTATCTGACGAGTTAGCTTTGATTTTCTATTTTTTTGTATTCTAATAATTGTTGATGAAATAAATATTAAAATAAAATAAAAAATTACGAATCTTTCTTAGTTAATATTAGTATCTAAGAAACTTTTTTTCACTTTCACTTTGCTTTGAACAATAGACAAGTATGGGGTGTGGGTGTGGGTGTGGGTGTGGGTGTGGGTGTGTGGGTGTGGGTGTGGGTGTGGGTGTGGGTGGGTGTGGGTGTGGGTGTGGGTGGGTGTGGGTGTGGGATGTGG